AGTAGAGACAGGGTTTCACCATGTTGACCAGGATGGTCTCGATCTCTTGACCTTGTGATCCACCCGCCTCGGCCTCCCAAAGTGCTGGGATTACAGGCTTGAGCCACCGCGCCCGGCCCATGCCTGGGTAATTTAAAAAGAATATTTTTTGTAGAGATGGGGTCTTGCTATATTGCTCAGGCTGGTCTCCAACTCCTGGGTTCTGTGATCCTCCCTCCTTGGCCTCCCAAAGTGCCAAAATCACAGACATGAGCCACTGTGCCTGGCTCCTGATTCTTTTTTTTTTGAGATGGAGAGCTGCTCTGTTGCCCAGGCTGGAGTGCAGTGGCACAATCTTGGCTTACTGCAACCTCCACCTCCTGGGTTCAAGCAATTCTCTTGCCTCGGCCTCCCAAGTAGCTGGGACAACAGGCGCATGCCACCATGCCCAGCTAATTTTTGTATTTTTAGTAGAGACAGGTTTCACAATATTGGTCAGGCTGGTCTTGAACTCCTGACCTCTGGCGCTTTACCCATCTTGACCTCCCAAAGTGCTGGGATTACAGGCATAAGCCACTGCGCCCAGCTGTGATTCATTTCTTTTAATGGTTAGACAATATATTCCATTATAAGGATGAACTGTAAATTATTGAAAACCCTAGTAATATTTTAAACTTTGGGTTGTTTCCAATACTTTCCTTTTTTTCGTTGTGACAAGGTTTCACTCTTGTCCCTCAGGCTGAAGGGCAGTTGTGTGATGTCAGCTCACTGGAACCTCTGCCTTCCAGACTCAAGGAATTAATTCTCCTGCCTCAGCCTCCTGAGTAGCTGGGACTACAGATATAGGTCACAGTGTCTGGCTAATTTTTGTGTTTTTAGTAGAAATGGGGTTTCACCATGTTGCCCAGACTGGTCTTAAACTCCTGAGCTCAAGCAATCTGCCTGCCTTGGCCTCCCAAAGTGCTAAGGTGACAGACGTGAGCCACTGTACCCAGTCTTTATTTGGTAAAAATACAAGCACAAACTAAAAACATTTTTTTTTTAGACGGAGTCTCACTCTGTAGCTTAGGCTGAAGTACTCTGGTGTGATCTTGGCTCACTGTAACCTCCGCTTCCTGGGTCTGGGTTCAAGCAATTCTTTTGCCTCAGCCCCCCAAGTAGCTGGGATTACAGACATACACCACCATGCCCAGCTAATTTTTGTATTTTTAGTAAAGACGGGGTTTTACCATGTTGGCCAGGCGGGTCTTGAACTCCTGACCTCGTGATCCACCCGCCTCAGTCTCCCAAAGTGCTGGGATTACAGCAGTGAGTCACTGCGCCTGGTCTTTTTTTCTTAAGACAGGGTCTCAACGGGTGCGGTGGCTCATGCCTGTAATCCCAGCACTTTGGGAGCCCAAGGCAGGCGGATCACAAGGTCAGGAGATCAAGATCATCCTGGCCAACATGGTGAAACCCTGTCTTGA